TCTCTGGAGCCATTGATGGTGGTTTGAGAGTCAGGGCTGTGGGGAACTGGAGACTGAGGACCATCCTTGTGTCTGGGCAGTCTGGTCCCAGGGGAATCACCCTGGCATTAAAGGGAGCACTGGTTGGGGAGGAAATGTCCCTGGTCACATCCTGGAGACCTGCCTTCTGGAGATAATGTTTTCACTGTTTGTATGCACTGTTTCATAAGTGTTGTGCAGACATAAGGCTTCAGGGTTAAGTATGTTCAGGGAACAGTCGAGTGAGCAAAGAGAGAGAGGTGGTGTTGCTCCAGTACTTCTCAGAGGCTTTAATACAGCAGTATGCTTGGGAGATCTCTAATTTCAGTACAAGTGGGCAAGAGAAGTGTGGACCATGCTTCTGAGTGCTCACAGTTGGTGGAGAAGATGGACAACATGCAAACACAGGGACACACCACATGTCAGGAGGTTGGAGCACTAGGAAGAGAGACAACATGAACGATGGGGGACCATGTGGGGGAGTCTCCCCAGGAGGGATGACATTTAAACAGAGATCTGAAGGAGGTGTGAAAGGAAGTGAGGGAGCAGCCATGTGACTGTCTGGAGGAAGACAGACCCAGGCAGAGGGGACGACAAGTGCAAAGGCCCTGAGGCCTGAGGTTGCTTGGTGTATCTAAAAAGCAACACGAGGGTTTGTGGCTGGAGCAAGGTGGGCTGAGGGGGAGGTGGTAAGAAATGAGGTTGACAGAGATCAGCTCCCAAAGGCCATGGTCTTCAGAACATGTTGGGGACCCCTTGGAGGGTTTGGACAGGGGAGTGATACCTCAGGACACAGTGCCTCCTTAACTTATACTGATCAAACAACTTCATAAGAATAGTAGCAGAAACAACAGACACAGGATGCTGAGGGTCAGCTGGGGTGCTGGGTGGTTTACAGGTGCCACCTGTGCCTCTCGCAAGTCTGGAGGTGTGGGCATGGCTAGCTCCCATTTTGCAGGTGAGGGAACTGAGGCTCAGAAAGATAAAGGAATTTGCTCATGATCCTGAATGTTCCCTCTGGCTGCCACACTCCTCCCCCCTGTCCTGTTTCCTTGTCTACAAGGCTGGTAGGCTCAGGTGTCCTCAACCTTGGCTATGCATTGAAATAACCTGGGGTGTATTGCCCTAGGACGGCCACACCAATATATCTCACCTCCCGCATGCTCAGCCAATAGAATATGACAGAAGTGACAGTGGGTGACTTCTGAGGCTAGACCATAAAAGCCATCACAAGTCCTGCTGTGATCTCTGTAATTGCTAGCTCTGAGAGAAGCCAGCTGCTGTGTCGTGAGGATACCCAAACATTTCTGTGGAGTAAGCCATTCAAAGAGGGACTGAGGCCCCCAGCCTATACCAGCTTGCCAGCCATGCTAGTGAACCACCCCTGTCCAGCCTTCAGATAAGACATTGTGAGAACCCTGAGAGAATTCCATTGGCCCATTCACCATCCCCATTGCCCTGTGGCCAGGCAATGAGCTTGCAGTTGACCCCCCTTCCCCCTGCCCCCTTTTTTTTGGCTATTAATAGCAAGGCTGTAGTAAATACTCTTGTTTAAAATCTTTCTGAATCTCCTTCATTATTTGGTTAGGGTCAAAAAGCAGACCCCCCTTCCCCCTGCCCCCTTTTTTTTGGCTATTAATAGCAAGGCTGTAGTAAATACTCGTTTAAAATCTTTCTGAATCTCCTTCATTATTTGGTTAGGGTCAAAAAGCGCAGTTGCGGGATCAGAGTACAGGTTCATTAATATAGCATATAATTTTTTTTTAGGAATATGACTATAATGCCATCCAGAAGGACATCTCAATTTACCTTCTCACCCACAGTGTTTGTAGGGACATATTTGGACTGAGTTTTCTTTTACTTCACTGCCTTATTTTGGTTTTTTGTAGAATATCCTTAAAAGGGTTATGTATGCTATTTAAAAGATAGATTATACCTTTACAACGTACAAAATCCAAAAGGTATAAAAAGTATGTTCTAGAAAGCTTTCCTCCTTCCCTTGTTCCTCAGTCAGCCCAAGTAGCCACCACTAGGACCAGTTTCTGGGAGGTCTTTCCAGAAAAGTTTAGATGTAAGTAAATACATACAGAGATAACACTATTTAAATAAAATGAAATGAAACTAAAGCCACAGGGTGCACAGGAGACAGAGAACTAACATCTGAGGCTGATTTCATCTGGGTTTCGAGCTGAGTGGAGAAAAACTGCCAAGGTCAGGCTCTGGAGGAGGCAGAACCCACACACTGAACAAGCCACAGGCCTGTCAACAGGGCGAGATGTTATTGTTGCTCGTATGCTGGGTCAGGATGAGGCCACAAGGATCGCCCAGCTCCTTCTGATCTGGGAACAGTTAATGACAGTTTGTCCACCTTCTTATTCTTATGGGCTCTCAGCGACAATGATGGTTTGCATCACTCTGAATTGGTACCGGCTGCTTAACAAATTCTCGAGAATGGAGAACATCACCAATATTCTGTTGGCACGTGAAGATGCCAGAATGTGTCCAAATGATCTCTATTTATGTGGCCTAGTTTTGGATCCTGATTGAGTTCCTTCTGCCCTCTGGTTGTCTCAGTTTCTTCATCTGGGAATGAGTCTCAGTGTTTTTGTTTTGTCCTGTTTATTTTAAGCTCTAGGGCATGCAGGGCAGAGGCAACCTTGGAAAATGGAAGGGTTGACAGGGCCTTTATCGAGGCATCTCAAATACCTCCCAACCCCAGATCAAAGTTACACATCTCAGAGAATAGCATCGACACCATTGTTGTCATTCCTGTTTAATCACAGAGAAGCTGAGGTCTGGGTGGCACCCCAGTGATGTGCTGACAAGGTCATACACTTCAGTAAAATTTGCCAAAGTAAGTATTTTACCTCACTCTGTTAGAACCACTATCTCCTTCCACTCTGACTTCCCTTTGTGTTAGATGATGTTAGGGATGGGTGTGAGCATTTTGGGCATCTGGCTAAGAGGACTTTGACATTTAATTTGGATTTAGTCGGATATATTTATATTGTTTCCAGTCCCTCATTACTCATTGACCTAGTATAGGAATATCTTCTAGGAAATACACCTACTGGAAACACTGAGCTGACTCAACTTGGCATTGTGACATAAAGGTGCTGGGTTAGAGGTCATATCTCAATATGTATGAGATATGTGCCATAAAACAGTGCCCAAAGCCACAGGTATGGGTAGTAGAGGAGAGGTTTGAAGTGTATACACGGAGTCAGAAGCTAGTTTGTGGAAAGTATTACAGAGGTTATGTCAAACGGGTAATTAATAAAAATAATGTTATTTTTTGGGGGTGTTATGATGTTTGTGGAATTTGTCATTTGTTGTGGTTTCTTTGCTCCTTCTAACCAAACATTCCCTTTATTACTTAATTTCATATTTGTATTTTTGTATTCCATTTCTTAAAGAAGTCCCCCTAAGTTGTATAAGCTTCAAGAAGTACAAAGCCTGGATCTGCCCTGCTGAGTTTTCTCTTGTGTCTTATAGGACCACAGGAAACTCTTTGCCTTTCCTCACTGCTAACTGCCAAGCAGTTCTTGCACATTTACAAGGGAAGGTAATATAGTTATCTAGAGGACTTGCTCTGGATCTAGACAGACCTTGTTTTCTCATATATAAAATGAGAATAACAATAGAATTTCTCTACTCAGATAGTAATGAAGTCAAATGAGGTAATATGTGTAAAGGTTCGAGCACAATCTAGCAGAGGGCACAGTTAGTGCTTGGTTTGATATTTAGGTGGTCCTCACAGATACAGCCAGATTCCCTGGTTATGACAGTTGTCTGTCCTGTTTTGTTTGGTGCCCATGCCAGAGTGCACAATCATCGTTAGCTGTTAATACAGTATTAGCCCCCTCCCCTGCCTGCCCAAAGCATGTACACAGTAAGTGCTCAATCATTGGCAATCCAATCAAAAAATGAAAGACACCAGCTGGAATAGAAAACAGAGCCTGGCTCTGCGTTGAGCAATACAGACCCAAACAGTGACTGACAGCTATAAAATTTCCTCTCCTTGAATGGCCCTTAGAGTTTATTCTAATCCCCTTTAAAAAAAAATTTTTTTTTCTGGATACGTTCAAGTGTTAGAAATTTGGAAAATCAAAAAAAAAAAAAAAAAAAAAAAAAAACACAAAGAAACGAACTGCTGTTATCATAAATGATCATACGTCCATACGATACCATACTTATGTACTTAATATATATTATGCTGTGCATAGTGCTTTGAAACATACTTTAAAAAATGTAATGCTTCCTTAGCATTTCCTTCTATCTTTAAATATCTTTTAACTAGGTCATTTTAAATGGCTGCATAATATTCCTCATCAGAAAGTGGGGATAATTAAAGGTGCTATCTCAGAGGATTATGTCATGAGCATTAAAAAAGTCCTAAAAAGCTCAATTAGCTCTTCCACATGATGAATTTATATAACCAATTGCCCTTCGATGAGAATTGAAGTTATTTCCATTACTTTCCCACGATGAATAACGCTGGGTAATATTAATCCTCGTTCATAGTTTTGGTCATTTCTTTTGTAAATTTACTGACTGCTGGGTATATATATTTAAAAACTAACTAACTGATTGTGCAGTTAGGGAACAGAGAGGGGAAGGGGCTTGTCTGGGGTCACATAGCGAGTTAGTTGTAAAGTTGGGACTAGGAACCAGTCCGGGGCCCCTGACTGGTGCCTCTTCCAGCTGGGGACCCAGAGGAAGTCCCATGTGGAAGAGGGAGAGGGAGAAAAAAGGGAAAAGAATTGAGCGCCCGGGCTGAAGCAGCGGCCGGAAGAACTTGGGGCTGGCAGTGAGGAGGGGGCGGGGTGCTGAGCCTCGGCACCTCCCCCATGCGGCAGAAGCTAAGCGGTCGCTTGGCAACCTGGGTGGCGCGGCGTTCGAACGGAAGCGAGGAGCCAATCAGGAAATCCGGGGCGAACCATTCCGGTGAGGGCGGAGGGGGGGGAGCGGCGCGCTCACTTCCCCTTTCTCAGCGCCGCGGGACCTTCACTCCGGTGGGGGTCTTTCTTCCAACCGTGAGGGCCACCCGCTCTTCTCGGGTGAGGAGGACAGCTCCGAAGCGGCCCCTGCAGGTCCCCACGCTGGGCTGCAGCCTACGGGCCGCGTTGGGAGCGGCCACTCCCGGCCCGGGTCCGAGCTGTCAGCCTCTCCAGCACCCGCAGCGGAGGATCCTGGACACTCCCAGCGCGGGCTCCAGGTGAGGGCTCGGGTGGTCCCGGCTGAGATCCCGGGTCTGGGGGGCTCCGTTCACCGAGCGCCTGCTGTATGCGTCCTCCCTGCATCGTACCTGAAAGTCACTTACAAATGACGACACTGAGGCTTGAGAGGCAAGTGACCCAGCCTGGCGCGGTCTGGCAGAGAATCGAATTCAAGTCCTTCCGCCCCACCTCGCAGCCTCTAATCTAGGCAGATCTAGATTTGCCTTGAGAGGCCCAGACGGGCAACTAACTGGTGGTCACATTCTCAGCCTCTTAGCGGGGACACAGCCCGTGGACCCCGGGCTGGATCACCCCTCCCCCGACATACACCACTTCCCAACCCCCACCCTTCACTCCCGCCTCCCGGCACCGTCCTGGAGATATCCCTTCTGGACCTGTCTTCCCTTCCTCAGAACGTCAGGGGTTGGATACAGGGCTCATTTGGGGCGGTTCTGCCTACGGGGTTCTGAATTACAGCGCTGCCCAAGTCATAGGGCCTCTCTGGACGGGACAACATCTCTGGCTAGATACGGGGTGGGCAGCAGATTCTCTAGTCCCCGGAGTATCTGCTGGCCTCTTGGGAATCTGCCCCGGGTTGGGGGAGGGGTAGAGGCAGTCCCCAAACGACCAGTCACCAGAGACTTTGAAGTTGGGGGTGGGGACGGGATCCTGCCAGGTGGACATCTGTCCTAGTCCAGACCCTGGTCTGCCTCGTAGGGATCACCCTCTGCCCTCCAAGTTGCCATTGTTGGTCTCCTTCTATAGGTGGGGACACTGAGGTTCTAAGAAGTTAAGCCCCTTGCCTAAAGTCACAGACTTGGCAAGGCAGGGATTGCCTCTCAGTCCATCTGGCTTCAGTCTTAGAATCCTTGACACTCAGAGTCACAGGATATGAGAGCCCTGAATCTCTTCACAAGAGAAATACTTATCCTCTCCTCTATACCCTCCTCCTGGCTTTGGGGAGAGGAGCTCAGGGAACTCAGAAAGAAAAAAGTCCTTCATTCATTCTTTCAACAAATATTTATTGACTTCATATGCCCTGCCCTCCCCCTTGCAAGTTTTGTTTTCTCAGTAGCATTTACTCCATTTTATGATCTATATATTTTACTTATTAGACAGTTTGTCATCTCCCACTGGAACAGGATGCCAGGCAGGGGCTAGGATGAGGCATGTCTGCAAAATTTAGGGGTGCCCAAAACGTTGGTAATCAAGAGAACTAAAGCTAACATTAATTGACCATTTTCTGTGTGTTCTGCTAGTGGGAGGTCAACTCAGACAGACTCCATGCAGCACAGTCCCCCCATTTCTGTCACAGTTAAAAGTGCATCCCCCCTGCCTAACTGTCCCACTTCTAGGCAAATGATGTAGGTACAGCGATGTGGTTTGTAATAGGCAGAAGATGGACACATGCTAACTGGCCATCAGTAGGGGCTCTTGGGAAATAATACTGTGCAGCTGTTAAAAAGGACATGGATGCTGTTTAAGTACTGATGTGGCACCAAGAACAATATATATTATTGAGCACAAAGAGCAAGGTGAAAGCAGTACACAGAGTATGATGCCATGTATGTGAAAAAGGAGAAAGAATATGTGTTCATACCTACTTGTATTTGCCTAAAATCTTCCTGGAAGGATACACACCCTCTGGTCACGGTGGTGCTTGCAGGGAGGAGAATTGGTCAGGGGTGGGAGGGAATTTTTTTTTGCTTCTCTCCCTTTATACTTTTTGAATTTTGAGCAATATGCATGTTTCACTTGGTTGAAAATTTCATATGAAATGAGACCACTGCCTAGTCTGTAATCTACCACTGACCTGCTGTGTGACTTTGGGCAAGTTTCTTCACATCTATGGGCTGAGATAAGAAGCCATGATGGTGAGCTCAGGCATGGGCAGAGGGCAGTTTGGGAAAGGGGGTAGGCTTGGCTCTGGATCTGCCTCAACCCCCACCTTCCCCATCCTGTGTGCCAGGCCCTTCCCTAAGGCCCTGCATGTGATGTCTCTCTCATTCAGTCTTCACTGCAAGTGCTTTTGTCCCCATTTTGCAACCTCAGGTGCAAACTGAGGCCCAGAATATTGAGTTGGTGGAGGTGGGCATATTGGTGGCCAGGCAGGAGCTTGCAATGCCCTAGGCATCCACACCTACACCCCTCCCTGGCCTGCTCACTCACTTCTCCCTTCCTGAGGTTTGTGCAAGGCCACCCTGGGTAAGGCTGACTCCTGGGCAGGCCAGGGCATGAGCATCCAGGAAGACTCTAGAAATAGCTTGGGGCCTGGCGTGGCCCTGGAGGATACCCAGCTGGGTGTCTCTGACCTGGACAGCTGGGCTGAAATCGAGCTGGGGCTGCCCTACTGTCTGCCCTCCTCCCCACCGCCTGGAGCCTTCCTGATCCTCTTCTGGGGCAGGCAAGGCCCCCCTTTCTCTACTCAAGTCTGGGCCGGGCTTCTGCCGAAGGGAAAGAGAGAAGCAGATGGAAGGAAGGGGGGCAGGGAGGGTACAGAATGTCATGAAAATTATAAACATCAGAAACCACACCTTCTACCCCCTCAACAAAGAATAAAAATCACTAAAACCTCTTGAGCACTTTCTGTGTGCTAAGTACTTTACAAGTGTGAACTCTTTTAACTCCTTCAACTGTGTGATATAAGGTAGTTATTGTTGTCATTATTTCCGTCTTAGAGAGGGGAAACTGAGCACAAGGGAGGTTTAATGATTTACACAAGGCCACCCAGAGGTGGAATTTGAATCCAGGGAGTCTGGCTCTGGATTCTGCAGTCTTTATTGTGTGTGGTAAAATGTATATATAATAAAATTTATCATTTAAAGTGTACAGTTTAGTGGCAAACTCCCAATTTCCACTCCCCCTGGCCCCTGACAACCACCATTCTAATTTCTGTTTCTATGACTTTGACTACTCTAGGTACCTCATGTAAATGGAATCATATAGTGTTTGTCCTGTTGTGTCTGCCTTGTTTCACTTAACATAATGTTTTCAGATTTCATTCATCTTGTAGCATGTGTCAGAATTTTCTTCCTTTTTAAGGGTGGATAACATTCTGTTGTATGTATATACCACATTTTGTTTATCCATTCTTCTGTTAATAGACACTTGGGTTGCTTCCACCCAACACCCCTTTGACTGTTGTGAATAATGCTGTTATGAACATGGGTGTACAAATATCTGTTTGAGTCCCTGCTTTCAATTCTTTTGGGTGTATATCCTGAAGTGGAGTTGCTGGATGATCTATGGTAATTCTATGTTTAAGTTTTTTGAGGAACCGTAGTACCATTTTTCACAGTGACTGCACCATTTTACATTTCCATCAGTGATGTGCAAGGTTCTAATTTCTCAACATCCTCACTAACTCTTGTTATTTTCTGTTTGTATTTTTTCAATAATGGCCATCGTAATGGGTGTGATGTGGTATCTCATTATGTTTTTTTTTTTTTTAAAAGATGACCTGTAAGGGGATCTCAACCCTTGGCTTGGTGTTGTCAACACCACACTCAGCCAGTGAGCCAACTGGCCATCCCTATATAGGATCCGAACCTGTGGCCTTGGTGCTATCAGCACCGCACTCTCCTGAGTGAGCCACAGGCAGGCCCTTCATTGTGTTTTTGATTTGTATTTCCGTAATGATTAGTGGTGTTGAGCATCTTTTCTTGTGCTTATTGGCTGTTTGTATATCTTCTTTGGTGAAATATCTGTTTAAGTAACTCTGCTCTCTTAACCATTACCCGTGTTACTTTTAGATTTGTAACCTCTGAGAGTAGTGGGTCAGTATTCTCTGCTGTTAAAGGCCTCACCCGGGAGCTGGGCATTGGAGGCTCTGCTTGGTTGAATAGTTATCACAGCTCCCACTTTGGTGGCCTTTGTCATGCATAGGCCTCAGGCTGGGAGGGAGGCACTTTAATGAGTCCTGTTTTACAGGTGTGGAAACTGAGGCAGGAGAAGTTGAGTATCTTACCTAAGGTGTCATAGCTAATCACTGGTGGAGCTTGGATTTGAACCCAAGCAGGCTGGTTTTGGAGGCCCTACTATGCCCTACAGAGATGACCAGGGGGATGGAGTGGGAAAGGGCACTGCAGGCAGCAGAACCAGCATGTGCAGAGGTTTGGACATGGTGTCTTTGGACAGGGCTTGGCTAGAAGTGGCCAGAGCACAGATTGAATGGGGGCAACTTGAGGCTGGAGGAGGAGTGGGACCGTTCTTGGAAGGCCGGGAACTGGGTCAGGCGGTGGGGAGGAGGCTTGGTGCCAAGGGACCTTGGACTTTTTTTTTCTTTCCATATGATATTTGTTAAGTACAAAGAGAAAATGATATCTGTATAGTGGAGAAGTCTGGAAAATAGTGCTTTTACCCACGAATCTGCTGATCACTAAGATTAGGACAAACTGTTGTCAAATGCCCACTGATATGATGCACCGAGAAGGACCCAACATCATTCTGTGTTTTGCCTGACAGATGTTTAATTCTCCCTCCCTCCCTCCCTCCCTCCCTCCCTTCCTTCCTTCCCCCCTCTCTCTTTTTTTCTTTCTTTTATTGAGGTATGACTGACATACAAAAAAGCCGTATGTATTTAATGTATTCATCTTGATGAGTGGCCTTGGCCTTTGAGGTGGCCTGGGTTCCATTCCAGGCACTTGGTCTATGGTGTTTCCTCTTGTGTTTGGTTCCTGGAGGAAGAAGGTATGGAAGGGTGCAATGGAGCTCCCCAGCAGTGGGAGAGATAGGAAACAAGTGATAGATGAATGGATATCTAAAATGGCAGGATGTGACGAATGCTTGGAAGGGAACAAAGTGGGTGGGAGATTTGGTAGGAGCCTCTCAGGGGGGTCAGGGAGGCTTCTCTGAGGAGATGATATTTGAAATGAGATGCGAAGGTGAGGAAGAGGTCCCAGGCAGGGAACAACTGGTGCGAAGGCCCAGAGCCAGGAAAGACCGCGGTGTGTTCAGGAATGGTAGGGAGGGCTTTGTGGCTGGGGCGGGAAAGAGGCTG